CTGTTTGCTCAAAATTCCCTGGAACTTTGGAAAATGTTTCCCTGCTCTACCCACCACAAAGAATGTTAGGCACCTCTCCTCTGTGTTCCCACAAGCAGTTATCTGTTTACAAGTCTAAGGCACTGTTGACAAATATCTGCCTCATTAGATTGCAAGCTTCTTAAGAAGGACTGTGGTTGTTTATTTCTACCCACTCCCAGCATTTAACACAGTGTCTGACATAGAGTAGGAGGCTGTTAAATTGTGTTGAATCATTCACATAATTACAGAGAATGTTATAAACTAATAGTATCTCATAACAACCTAACATATACTGTCTTGACTATTTTCAGAGAACTTTCCTGTAGGAGAAGATAGGCACAACTATTTTTTTTTTTTTCTTATCATTTGGGCCAGCGTCACTCAAGTAGTGTGCACAAGCCATGAGTAGAAGGATTTAAGAATCCTGACTACCAAGCAATCAACCTACCCATTAAAGCTCTACCTCTCATACATCCCCTTACCTATCAGGTCATAGTTTCAGTGTATTTGTAACAGTATTCTCAACTTTTAAATTTCAAAGGGTCATTTCTGCCTCTTTATTCTTCCTTCACCTATTGTAACCTGCCAGTAAATGGGCAGTGACTTTGTGGTTCCCTCCTCATGATGCAAATAGCCAGTCTTGGCTATTCCAGAGATTATAATGCCTGAAATTAAAATGAGACCCATTTAGGCAGCAAACACATATGTAAAATGCAGAGCTTATGAGAGCAAGAATGTTTGTGCATTTTGACCACTGCTAATCCCCGGTACATAGAATAGTGCCTGACGAGAAATAAGGGCCCTGTAAGTATTTCATGAATGAATGAGTGAATAAATGAATGAATGAATTGTTGAGCATAGTGTTCTGATAGTACTATAAACAGTGTACTCTGCTTTATATAGTACTATAAACAGTAAACTCTGCAAAGTTTAAGCCAATGAAATATTTTAAAAGAGTTAATCATTCACAATACACCTTGATATCCCTTGCTAGGCACTCCCATCAGTCCTATGAGCTAACCTATTTCTTAAGGCTGGCTTCATGAGTGTGCAACTTATGCAGTCACATAGCACCCAGTTATTACAAGGGCCCCATGCTTGGTTTAATGCTCTGCTGTTGCTGTCTTGAAATAGCACCCCATATTTTCATTTTGCACTAGGCCCCACACATCATGTAGCCAGTACTGCTATACTTCAATACCTTTCCGTTTGAGTTTGGCACGCTTGAAGTTATAATTCATCTACAGATACATTATCTTGGCAAGTCCCCTGCCTGAGATGTGGGGCAGGCAGCAGTTAACCTGGAGTGCCCACATATTACAGCTTGGACTGGGGCTCTAAATTCAGGCTGGCAATCCCATAGTAGTATTATCAGTTTTCTTAGTCCCCCCAACGGAAGTTTGTGTATCATTTAGACCATGAATAGACAAAAAGTATTCCAAAATATAATAACAAATAAAATATTCCTTTATTACAGTAAAGAGCCACTTATTTTCTAGAGCTTCCATTGTCCATGATGCTGATGGTAACATCCAAGAGAGAGATTGTCCACATTTTCCAAGTGACTGAACTTTACATATATCCAGATTCTCTACTGAAGTCTGGTTGTCCTAGGGCTGAATGAAAGATCTTTTTGACCACTTGGTGATCCTTGGTTTAAAGTCCCTGTGACTGTGGAAGTAAGGAGACTGACTAGCGCCTCTTGGCTTTAAAGCAGTCACCCTAATCAAGTTAAATTCAGGCTCTTCATCAGCGATACTTCTCATTTAGCTAGGGTCTTTTCATTTGGAACAGTATGGTTATGGCTTCAGGGAATGACTCTGTGACCATTAATGTTTGTGCATTTGTGACACACTTATTATCTACCCATTTATGTCTTGTAGGGCTTGAACATCCACGTAAGACATGATTTGGAACTGGATTAGGCACTGGTGTTGGAGATAGCATTCTGAACCACCTTATTTCCTTCCCACTCTTGTGAGTCCCTTTGGCATTAATGTTTAATAATAACAACCTTCAATTGCCTCAATTTTCATCTCTGGTCCAGCATTTATTCTGCATCACTAATTGTTCAACTTTCACTCTAAGCTCACACTCTTTGACCACTTAATGATAATCTTTGTCTGTGTACCCTGAAACCCAGCTTCTAATCTGTTAAAGAATAGTTGCAAATGTTCCTCTCTATTCAAAGTACTACTTCAGATTATAATTATCTTCTTCATAGATTACAAATGTTTTCACTGAAATTTCAATCAAGTTCTAAAGCAGGGGTGTCCAGTCTTTTCGCTTCCCTGGCCCATACTGGAAGAAGAAGAATTGGGCCACACATAAAATACACTAACACTAAAGATAGCTGATAAGCTAAAAACAAAATTTTTCAAAAAAATCTCATAATATTTTAAGAAAGTTTACAAATTTTTGTTGGGTAGCATTCAAGCCATCCTAAGCCACATGCACCCCACTGGCTACAGGTTGGACAAGCTTGTTCTAAAGTATTTGTTTTCTTATGTAGTTTTCTTTATTACTTCTTTCTACACAATGAACTTTTTTGTTCTCTTTTTCATTTCGTTTCTGCTAAATACAGTTCTTAAAATTTACAGCAGCAGTATCAGATTCTTAAGAAATAACTTCCAAAGGAAACACTTGTTTACTGAACTCTGGTGATCATTAGGTATACATGATGCCTTCTTTCTAAGATTTCAGTTTGCCTTGGAAATGCCTGTTCATCATAGCAAAAGTGAAGAACTCTACAAGTTTTCTTTGTTTCTAATCCAGTTACACAAACAGATATTTTATTTGTTGAACACCAGACACTGTCCTGGGCACTTTAAGACTATGATGGTTGATTTTATGTGTCAACTTGACTAGGCCATGGAGTGCCCAGATATTTGGTCAAACATACTCTGGATGTGTCTGTGAGGGTGTTTTGGGATATGATTAGCATTTAAGTTGGTAGACTGAGTAAGGCAGATTGCACTCTCTCAAATGAATGGGCCTCATCCAATCAGTTGAAGGCCTGAGTAGAACAAAAAGGGTGACCCTCCTTCAAGTAAGAAAGAATTTTCCCTGCCAGAATATCTTCAAACTGAGACACTGGCCCTTCCTGAGTCTCAAGCCTGCCAGCTTTTAAATGGAAGCTATACCACTGGCTCTCCTGGTTCTCAGGCCTTTGAACTCAGACCAGAACTACACTATCAGCTCTCTTGGATCTCCAGCTTGCTGACTCAACCCGCAGATCTTGGGGCTTGTCCACCTACATAATGACATGAGCCACTTTCTTATAATACATTTATTTATGTATATATGTTATATTCATATATATATATATAATACACACACATACACATCCTATTGATATCTATACAGCTTGCTCCCTTACTTCCTAAGATTCTCACTCAAATATATTCTCAGTGAGGCCTACTCTGGCCATCTTATCTAAAGCTACAGCCTTCCCTCATACTCCCTAGTACTTTTCCCTGCTTTTTTTTTTCTTCCTTAGCACATATTATCTAACATACTATGTATTTTACCATTTGATTTTGCTTCTTTTCTGGCTACTTCACTAGAATGCAAACTCCATAAGGGCAGATATTTTTGTATTTTTTTTTTTTTACTGCTGTCTCCCCAACACCACAGTACGTAGCACATATTGTTGAATAAATGAATACGTGACCACATTATTTTCATTTGCATCCAAATGAGTTGTACTGAATGTGCATTTCAGTTGCACTGAAAAAATTGAACTCCTGATTCAAAAGGGTATCTGCAACAGGTCTCCTTCTGTCTGGTGTCTATCAAACATCTCGACAGCTTCTTCAGAAGGTAATCTCACTGCTGCCTTAGTAAATCTTGCAATGTACACACTGTGGATCTTACCTTCAGCAAGCATTTTCAATTGTGGGGCTTTGTGCTTTGTTGGCTCACAAGGCACTTCCTGCAATAGAGCCCATATGGAGATGTGCACATTTCCCAAGCATGATGTCATTGTGAACCTCTGTTTAACAAGAACTCTTTTATTCTCATTAAAGCTGCAAGCTTTGGATCTACCTAAAGTTTTTGTAATAAGAGCTTTTTCTTTTCTGATCACCAAAAACTAAGACTCCTTCCCTCAAAAATGCAATCTATTCATATCAGAACTGAATCCTGAGAAATTTGAGTGTCCTACCCTTTCAGTTCTTCTCATTCTCCAAGCGACTACTAGTCTGGGCAGGCTGCCCCTGTTATGTGCTACCACAGAACTTGGTACTCTTCTTATCATAGCCCTGTCATTACTTCTTTACCTGGCTTCCTCTCCAGCTATACCGTGAGCTCCATGAAGGCAGGGCCGAGTCTGTCTTGCTCATGACTCTATCTCCAAGCACACAGAATGCATGGCACACAGCAGGAACTCAATAAATGTTTGCCAAATGAATGAGCAACAAACCCAGGTAAACTTGAGTCTCACATATTTCAAAAGAAAAAAGTGAATCATAAGCAAGACATAATTTTTTAAAAATAAGCATAATCAATTCATATATATCACAGAACACAATTATTTTCTTTAAAAAGTAAAGAAAATGCAACAAGAGTATTTAGCACTAGTGAAATTACGATTTGATTTTTTTCTTTATCCTACATATTATTTACCAAATTTCTTATAATAAGTGTATTTTACTTTTATAGTGGGAAAAAATAACATTATAAATTATAAAATAAAAAACCCTACAAATTATCTTCACCTCTCACCTCTTTTCCTCAAAATATACAAAGTATCATACACTGCAAAATACGAACATTGGGGTTTTTCTCTCTGCTTGCTGACAGGTGAATAACAACATGGAATTTCTGTCTTATTTAGCACCAACAGAAGTATATGTTGACAAAATAACCCAAGTTGCAAACTTTATGTAACTTTAGGATCTGAAATCCCACCAGTGTATTGGGTATGTTTTTAAAGATTCTGTAGAAACTATTTTTATTAAAAAGAATTCAGATTCTGGTTTGATGCACAAAAACAGAAGTCAGCTTTATTTCATATTTAAAAGTAAATATGACAAAAATAAGAATCAATTTTTAACTTTCCAAAATGCTCCATCAGGTGTGGATGGCTGAGACTGTCCCCTCTGCTCTGGATAGCTTATGTTGTCTCGAGGGGAAAATAATACTCTGGGAGAAAAGTAAAGTAGGGTTACATGACTTGAAAGGACTAGTATTCACATAGCACACTTTGTCATCAAAGGAATTCCTTGCAACAAAATTATCCAATTCTATATAGTGAATGTTATGATTAACTTACGTATTTTCAGTTTGCCAGCACATCATCTTCTGTTACTGTGAGGCATACATATAAAATAGACTATAGCAAATATCATTACAGAGATAATTTCTGAATAACAAAGTTAACTTCCATGTCCCAGTGAATGGGCCACAGAAACCAAGTTTTGTTAGTCTAATTATAATGTTATATATGTATATATATATATATATGTGTGTGTGTGTGTGTGTGTGTGTGTGTGTGTGCATGTGTACGCACATGTATTGGATTAAATTAATACAAGGTAATATTTCATGTGAATGATAATACACAGGCATCATTATAGTAATATATATTTATGTGTTACCTTAAATAGACAATATGTATCAAATATATATATAAAGATTTTCTTTTGTTTCTTCTGAGATAAATCACTTTTCCTATTCATCAAATCAACCTTCTCATTTTGAAGATTGGTGAAATGAGTCCCAAGAAAGTTAAAGAACTTGCTTAAGCATACACTGTAAATAATGGCAGAACTAGAACTGAAGCCAGAGTCTCCTGACACTGAATTCAATTGTGTGTTATTCCATTCCTTTGAGTCTCTGTAGCTTAATACCTTAATTTTGGGTAATGCATTCCAATTTTCAAAACATTTTCACATATAGTATATTATTTAAGTTACACAAAAAAATCTAAGGTGATGGTATCAAGGAACTGAAAGGTTAATTTCCTTGCCCATAGAAACACTACTATTTAATGACCTGGGTCTCCTTACCCCCAGTCTCTGAGGTACACCTTTGTTTCTCACCAACCATTTCATTCTTACTTGGCCCTACACAGTTATTTTGGAAGGAGGAGACCCAGGTCAAGGCTAGGGATCTGTAAGCCTATACAAGTGTGACCTGTACAGGTAGTCCCTAGTATATGATTCTGGGATCCCTCTCTCAACTTATTCTAACACTACGTGGTGCAGGTTTGAAGAACAGGTAGCTGAGACTAACGGCTAAGATCCAGGATTCAATCTCAGTTCTGTCAGACTCCTAAAGCCACGCTCCTTCCCCTGGATATGTGATGTGGCCACGTATGAGGACTATGGCCTTTATCAAGGGTGTCTATCAGGGAGCCACAGAGTCAGAGTGGGCAGATTCAACTTCTTTGCTCCCTCTGAAAAGCTGACCTGTTTATACCATATAAGGTGGCACCAAAACAATTGGCACATTTCTTATCAATTTTCCTGCTATCTAAATATCCCTAGTGACAAATATTTGTTCAGAAGCTGACCCTCCTGTGATCCAAACATTTGTGTGATCAAAAAAAAAAAAAAAAAAATGTAAGTCAAACCAAGATGATCGTAGAAATATAAAGCTAAGAAGAATCAGAGATTGAGCACTTCAACTTTATATCCTATTGTCAATTACCTTTGGTCTCTTGCTACTCCTCATCATCTTTCTCGTCTCCTCCTGCTCCTTTCTGTTCCTTCTTCCTCCTTCGCCCACTTCTTTGTTTCTTCAAACTCTTTTCAACGTTTTTGACATTGCCTTGCAAATAATTGGCCCGTTTCCTGTAACATAAAAGTTCAAGTGAAACCTTATTTCTCATTAGTGATAGAGTAACAGTGGGAGGGTTATAAGGAAAAAGATATTTGCCCAGATAACTACACTTTCCCACCTGATATTTTTAACTCACCAGATTTAATAAATCTGATAGAAATTATTCCACTTGGCTGCTCATATGGATCATCATAGCCATCATTATTATTCTCTATACAGTCATTTTGATTATGTGACCTTCCATAACAGAAATGCTCTCGTACTTCCCTGTGCTGACATCAGTGTTACCCACTCTTTAACACCCAGTTTAGAAATCATCTTGTCTTCGAAGCCTTCTCTTCCACTCCTAGTTTAGAGGGATTCCTTCCTCCTATGAACTTCAAATCTAAATAGTAATAACTCACATTATATTAACATTTATAATTTTCAAAGCACTTTCACTTACTACTGTTGCCGTTGGGTATACAATCTTGTACCTCCTTGTGTTTGTGTGGATAGTTGGTAAAGAGGCACTTGAGAGGCTACCACATGCCAAGAACTTCACTAAGTGCTTTATGCACTTATCTCATTTAATCCTCACAACAACCCTAGAAGGTGGATAGTGTGTTTTCTATTTTGCAAATGATTAAACTGGGGCTTAAAGAGGTAAAATAATTCACTCGGGGTCACAGATTGCTAGTAATGGAGATGCTAGAATTTAAACATAGATCTGTTTGACTCTAATGTACAAGCTTTTTCCATTAGACCACTTTGCAGTATGAGTGAATAATGGCTAACAGCAGGTATGATAGACTTCCTATGTGCTGAGGCCTGTACATAAGCACTACATGTGCATGATCTCATTTAATCTTCATAATGACTTGATGAGGCAGGTACTATTTCTATCATTTTCATTTTTCATGTGGGGAAACTGAGGCACAAAAAGGGAAAGTAACTTTCTGAGGTCATCAAAGTAGAACCAGGATTCAAATCCAGACCTATCTAAATCTAAAGTACAATCTCTCTCCTACTACACTACACTAACCTGTCTCATTCTCCCCTCAAAGCTTGTAAATTCCTTCAGACTGGAACCTTGCCTTATCACTTTTTATATCCCACAGAGGAAATAAAAATGTTAGTTGATTTTATAAGAAACAGTTGATTTTTATGCTTATAGGGCTTTTACTTTCTAAAGAACTAACCGTAATCCAAGAAGAAAAAAAAGTAGTAATGTTCATGGCAGAGGTAAGAAGGAAAATCCAAAGACAGAAAAAAAGAGAGAAAGATTTGCATACAATATTATGAAGAAGTAATGACATAAATAATCCTATCCTCATCTCATATTAGGTAGCATACAGAAGAAGATACCAGGACCCTGTAAGTGCTACTTAGCTACACAGAAAAACAAGATCCTGCACATGTAGGTCCTAGAGATAGATAAGTCTGCCTTTGAAATTATGACTTAGAAGATAGTTACTAACTTTTCTCCCCTAAAACTATATTACTAGGTTGACACTGAGCTCCACTAAGTAAGAAAGATGTGGAGCAAAGAAACAAATTTTTTCCCAATTAATCATAAAAATGTATCCAGGCATAAATGAAATGGTGAGGGCCAAAAATATATTTATGATTTATCTATGGCCTGTTTATGTTGCCATGTTGTGAACTGCAGCCTCAAAAAAATAATAACTGAAACAACTACACCGTTCTCAGTCCCTTGGGGCCAGACGTGTTTGAGACTGGAATCTTACCTATCACTTCAGACTGGAACCTTACCTTTTCACTTTTCTAAAAAGGTAAAATAATGTGATACACTGAATATTACATAACATTCCCATGCGGTCTGGGGCAGCATCTCATAATCAAACACAGTAACATTTCTGCAACAAAATATATAAATATTCACTTTAGGAATTAAATAATGACCAGAAGGAATCTCAGTCCAGGTTTGTTGCAAAATGAGTACAGCAAAGTTTTTAGGTTTGCAGAAATGTTTGAATTTCAGGATTTTAGAGACATTGGGAACTTATGCTTTCTTCTAATGCTGTGACGTCCATATAGCCTACTTTATATAATTAAAATGACTATGTTTTCTTTATCCACAGATGTTATTTTAAATTTGGTCATGTTTATTTTACCTTAATTAACAACAAAAAAGCAACATGGACTTATTACTTCAAAACTGGCCTAGGTTTCAGAGGGCTTGGTTTTGGTTCAGCCTCATCACTAACTGGCTATATGACTAACATTTAACTCCTGAGATCCATGGTTAGATATTCTAATATCTAATGAAAATGCCCAACAGAGATAGTAGGAGTGAAATGATTTTTTCCACTGTCCTAGAGGTTGTTTTCTTTTCACATAAAGTGTCTTATATCATGGCTATCATACTCACACTGAAAAGTACAGGTCAATTTCTTGCATACTCATTCACTCACTGATGCATTTCCTCATTTATTAAATAAACATTATTCCAAATACTAGAGACATAAACATGAATAAGATATGGGACCTGTCTTTGAGGAGCTTAAAACTTAGAAGGGAAGGTAGATATGTAGACTGACAATTATCTTACAATGAGATAAGTTCAAGTAGAGGTGATCAGAGATTGGTAGACGGCAGACAAGAAGAAGCCTGACCCAATGTGGTCAAGAGGATTGGAGTAAGCTTCCTAGAAGAGGTGACATCTAAGATGAGGCCTGCAGCCTGAGTGGAATGAGCCAGATAAAGAAAAGTGGAGGTGGGGAAATGCATAAGAACATTTCAGTCAGTAGATACACTTTATGAGACTCAGAGTGACAAGGTGGCATGCTGCTTGTAAACATCAAGTAGAGTGGCATGGCTGGAAATGTTAAGTGAGCCCACTGGAAATTTCTAATGACACAGATCCACATAGTTGTGGGACAGTTTTTTTCTTCTAGGAATTCCCAGGGGCCTAGATCTAAGAGCAGAGAAGTGGTATGGATTCAGTTTCAATGAAACAAGGGGACCGGAAGCAAGAATGGATTAAAAAACTAGACAATGGGATCCAGGCTGAATTTAAAAAGCAGATGATGTTAAAAAAAGATGGCAGACCAGGAGAAATGAGAGCGTTAAAGAGGCTGAAGCCCTCAATGAGTTAAAGAACAGATGCAGCAAAAGTAAAGCAAGGAAAAGGCTAGAGGACAAGGAACCTATGGTCAAAGAGTAGGATTTTGAACTTTAAGATTTCAGAGATTCAGAGGTTCAATTTTTAGTGAATAACAATGTTCAAGATGAGGGCATGAAACTGGGTGGCCAGTGATGAGTAAAGGGGCAATTCATCAGAATTGAATACATCAGGAAACTTTGTGGCTAGGGGCTCAAAGAAACAAAAACATGTATCATTGAAGGAATTTGTTGGGTGTTCTGGAATCTTAGGGGTTTAACATACCTGATCAGAAAGACAGAAATGGCATGAGGACAGAGCAAGATGGCAGAATAGAAGGCTCTACCAATTATCCCCACCCTACCCCGCCACAATAACACCAAATTTAACAACTACACAGAAAAAAAGTACCTTCATAAGAACCAAAAATTAGGGGAGCACTCACAGTACCTGGTTTTAATTTCATATAGCTGAAAGAAGTACTAAAGAGAGTAGGAAAGACAGTATTGAATTGCCAATGCCACCTCTCCTCTATCCCCCAGCAGTGGCTGCATAGCACAGAAGGAGAACCTATGTGCTTGGGAGAGGAAGAGTGCAGCAATTGTGAGGCATTACATTGAACTCACAGCTGCCCTATCAAAGCAGAAAACAAAACCAGGCTGAACTCAGCTGATCCCTACTCACAGAGGGAGTATTTAAACCAGCTTTAGCCAGAGGGGAACCACCCATCCCAGTGATCGGAAATTGAATCTAGCAAGCCTTGCCACTGTGGGCCACAAGTTCAGTAGGGCCCTCAAATAAACTTGAAAGCCAGTCTAGGCCACAAGGAATGCAATTCTTAGGTGAGTCATAGTGCTGACTTGAGTTAAGAGGCAGTAGATTTGGGAGGCACAAAACCTACTGACACACTAGCCAGGGTGGCTAAGGGAATGCTAGTGCCACCTCTCTCCTAATTCCAGGCTGCAAAACTCACAGCTCCAAAAGAGGCTCCTTCCATCTGCTTCAGGAGAGGAGAGGGAAGAGTAAAGAGGACTTTGCCTTACATCTTGGATATCAGCTCAGTCACAGTAAGAAAGGGTACCAGTCAGAGTCAAGAGGTCCCCTTTTCAGGCCCTAGCTCACAGATGACAGTTCTAGCTACACCCTGAACCAGGAGAGAATGTACTGCCTTAAAAGGAAGGATCCAGTCCTGGCAGGACCTGCTGACCGAAAAGCCTTTGGGCCCTGAATAACAAGCAGTGATATCTAGGTAATATGCTGTGGACCTTGGGTAAGACTTTGAGACTTGCTGAATTCAGGTATGACTCAGCACATCCTCAGCTGTGGTGGCTACAGGGAGAGACTTTTTCTGCTTGAGAAAAACAGTAGGAAAAGTAAAGGGAACCTTGTCTTGAACCTTAGATACCAGCATAGAGACAAGGGAGTAGAGCCCCATGTGGACTTTTAGGGTACCCAATCCCAGGCCTTGGCTATTGGATGGCATTTCTAGACCTGCCCTGGGCCAGACGGGAGCCCACTGCCCTGAAGGCTGGTGAGTCCCAGGCCAGGTAACATTCACCACTAACTGATAGAAGAGCCCTTGGGCTTTAAGGGACCATTGGCAGTACTCTCAGTGGGCCTGCAGTGATGGTTTTCACAGGGTAGGGCTCCTCTGCCTGTAGAAAGGGAAAGGAACGTGGAAATAACTGCATCTTGTGGTGAATGCCAGATAAACTGCAGTACTATAGGACACCAGGCATATTCCTAAGGTTTGACTCTAGTTCTTGGCTCCTGGAAGGTACTTCAGGACATGCCTGGGGCCTGCGGGAACTCACCACCCTAAAGAAAAGGATACAAGGCTGGCTGGCTTTGCCACCTGCTGTTTGTACAGCCCTAGTGCCTTGAGCAAACATAAGCAGTAGTCAA